TTACTAAAATACAAACTATATATTTTCATATATATTTCATTTCAGTTTTACATTCATCGTTTGTTTTTTATTAAAGCACACTGTGAGAAAATAAATATAGCAATAAATTAATAATTTAATAAAGAAAATTAAAGAGTTAATTCAAACATACTTGTTAATGTTGACTTGACCTGACTTGTTATGTTAATCAAGTCAACAATATTTATATTTGCGCCTTGCTATGCCAGAGTAGCAAGTCACAGATATTGTCTCATTTAGCTTGCACTTTTCGTAAGGTGTTTTAATGCATAACGACTTTTTCATTCCACCTACGGATCATGTTGTTTACTTTAGGTCAACTTGTTAAGGATATAGTGTTGAGACTTGAGGTGAATTTCGTACAGATGGGTGACGTGATTATTATGACTTGTTCAGTTCGGTGCAACTTCAGTTCTGTTTGGTTTGTGCCCGCGCAAGTTGTACATTCAATGGTAAAATATTTTCAAACCAAATTGTTTCTTGTTACAATTTAAGTATGTGCAGAATTTCATTGTAAAATATAAGTATAGGATAGGTACATTCTATTCTGTGACTTTTTGTACAGAAGACTCTTTGTTCAAGCAATCAATATTATATTACATCTATTGAAATTTTCAAATTTTCTTAAAATGCGCTTGGAATTGATTAACAATAAATTGTTTGCTAATCTGTTTTATTTGAAGCATCGTATGACTTATTTACTATTCACATGAATAAAATCGATAGATTAAAAAAATAATTAATTCGCTTATGCATATTTCTTTCTATGTGAATAGATTTTATAAATAATTCAAAGAGGCATCTTTGGAATATTTATAAAATCTATATCAATTGCTATAGTTGTTGCAGCTAGAACTTACAATTCGAATAGTCAATCAGGATTATAAGAAAACATCATCTATCATGTGCCAATCCATGTAAAATCTTTTCCTGTCAAAGAAAATACGTAAACAAATCCAATTCATTTATTCTTTTCCGACATCCGTTAGCGCTATCGGCTTAACGTTTTCTACGTCATTAATTTCGAAAAATTGGATTTTCTTAACTGAATATGGAGTTCCCCTTGCGTTCTACAGAGTAACAAAGGTTCTAAGCTATGAATACGTAGCATCCAAGAGCACCACTATTCTATCAATTTTAATTCATAAACTCTCTTGAAACCGGTTTATTTGCCACCTTTCCAATGTTTGCTATTGATTAGTTAGTCCTTAACAAAATTAATAGAAAATATTTATCTGATAATATGTAAGACCATTACGTATTGGTAGAAATTAACACCCATGTTCATTTTGATGTAAAACAGAGGAATAATTATGTCAAAAATATTATATTATTTAGAAACCGTACAGAGTGGTCGTGTCGTAAATATATAGCTTCTATATACAGCTAGAAATACACCTGTATACGCTTGTTATTTAGATCTCTCAAAAGCTTTTGACCTTGTTAATTATGACAGGCTGTGGCAGAAGCTACAATGTGATACGAATCTACCACGTGAGATTGTATCTCTATTTAAATATTGGTACAGTCAGCAGAAAAATAGGGTAAGATGGTCGGATGTGCGGTCGGAAATGTACGGGTTGGAGTGTGGCGTGAGGCAAGGTGGTATATCCTCGCCTCGTCTCTTTAATCTGTATATGAATGGGCTGATCGGTGAGCTTAGTAGCACAAACATAGGTTGTTCTATTGACGGTGTGTGCATAAATAATATAAGCTACGCTGATGACATGGTGCTGCTGAGCCCATCGATTGGTGCACTACGTAGGTTGATAGGTATCTGTGAGACATATGCGGCGAGTCATGGTCTCAAGTATAATGCCAAAAAGAGAGTTTATGATCTTTAAAGCTGGTACCAAATGCTACTCAATTGTACCTCCAGTCACTCTTTGCGGAACTCCTTTAAAGAGAGTTTATAAGTTTAAGTACCTTGGGCATTGGGTCGCCGATGACTTATCAGATGACCTTGATATTGAGAGGGAGCGTAGGGCGCTGTCTGTCCGGTGTAATATGTTGGCTCACAGGTTCGCACGTTGTACCACACCAGTAAAAGTTACTCTTTTCAAAGCATATTGTCAGTCCTTCTACACGTGCAGCCTGTGGACTAACTTTACGCAGCGGGCGTACAGCGCACTACGCGTCCAGTACAACAATGCTTTCAGGATGCTATTGAATCTGTCGAGGTTTTGCAGTGCATCAAACATGTTCGCGGAGGCACGTTGCGATGACTTTTATGCAATCATAAGGAAGCGGAGCGCGTCAATGTCCAATCGACTGCTAAGCAGCACCAATGGCATCCTGAGAGTATTGTCCGAGAGGTGGGATCTTCCAATCCTACAAAGGTGGATGCGTCTGCATGCTAGCGCATCCCCACGATTTATTTTTTAATTTGTTTTTGTGTTAATGTAGAACTAACATAGTTGTAAGATTACTGTTACTAACATATCTATGGACTAATGTCTGAAAATAAATAAATTTATTATTATTATATATATAATTATATATATATATTCTATATATACATATATATATATATTCTATATATACATATATATATATATATATATATATATATATACTGTCAGAGTGGCGAGTGCCTTTATGAAGTCGGTTTGTGTGTTCGCAGCTTTATCTGATGATAAAAAAAGTAACGTGGCGTCAGTGTAGTCGCAATAACAACACAAACACGCCCATGCACTCCTTATCATGACAGTCGAAAGGCACTTTTTCATTTTTCTTTTGTTTCCAGCTACTCATGTTTTTTGTTAGTGTGCAGGGTGTCTCTAAGGGCGCGGTGGGGCGGCCCGTATAGTGGAAAAGTCACATGATTTAACGACGACAAAAATGTTATATTCGTTACACAGCCGGTGTGTGCGTTGCTTGTGGCTTTGCGTGACATATTTTCTTAGTGTCGAGGATGACAAATGGCTAGATAAATCACAGAAAGCGAGCTTTTCGTTCAAAACTTTTATTTCTTCGGATATGTTACAAGTTTTTGTGTTTACGGCTGAATGCCTCATTTATTTTGACGTTCTATCTTTGTCATACTTTTAGTGTTGAAAATGTTTAAGATCATAAAATACACCGCTAGCTTTTTGTTTTTATTTAAGTACAATTCACATGTTGTTTCAGCCCAGAAAATATATACATGTATACCAATTAGGGTCTACATGTACTATAACTACGATATCGTGTACCTAATCTAAATATCCACTAAACTGATAATATGTGTTTTACATATTTAATAATAGTGCCCCAGATCTATAAAATACTCTAATGTAGAATTAAGCGCTAATCCAATTATAACATCGTAGCTTGTATAAACTTGATAACAGGCCATAAGAACCAAGTCAAGTCACAACTAGAAAAATAAATCTCAAGATTATATACGATACAAATGGCTTCTATCAGCCACATCTAACCGTCTACGGATATTTATTGGATAGGACGAGTTTAGTGTATAAGTGGCGACAAATTGTGAGATCATCGTCTTCATCGAGGGCATTTGCCTATTTTACTCAATTGACTTGTTATTACGTGGGAATGTTACTGTGATCTTTGGAGATGTATGCTGTATAATATAGAGATGCATGGTCAATATTTTTTCAATCAATACCAATAATGAAAATCAAAGTTATTTCTTTGTTTTTATGCACTGATCTTTTATAGCCCAATTAAGCTTTAAGACTAAAAATTAATTTTAAGGATGGCGTAGTGCTCTAAGCTCTGTTATTTGCGTCAATTTCATGTACGAGGTTCTCGTAGGTTCGTAAGATCCCCGATGCCGGATGTATGACGGAGGTGCGAGAGTTGTCTTTAAAAAAATATTATTTATTTAATAATTATTTGCTACTCTAAGGTGCATGAAACCTTGGTATAACAAACAACAAAAACTAAAGCCCACGACGATCATACCTACTTAAAATCTTTTATTTCCATGTCTTTAACTGAAATTGAATTAAACTAATAGCCTACTAGTATATCACTGTAACAGATTCAGAGTTTTTGATTACCAACGGCAATATCTACTTTCGAGACAAAAGATGATTGAAGTTTAACTCAAATAACAAGTACCAAATTATATTGTTTACTTTTTAGTCAGATAGTAAAAGATAAACTTCCAAATTAACGATTCCAAACTAACTTTTTGAGATTAATTTCTATTATAAATTTTATCACTGAAAATATAAGGAGAAATCGACGACATTTGTGGGAAGAGACACCGCCCTACCTAGGGTTAGCAAAAACGCTAATTTCCGCCGGCGCCGCGGCTAAAGTACTTCAAATTTGGTCTTTATAACAATGCTGAAATTGTTCTGTTGAGTCAGTATTTAGTAGGTACATAGCTATAGGTATGTAAGCTTAAACTGTTATACGTAAGATTTATTTCACAAGATAAGTTGAAGATAGATTCATTTATGTTTCCATAAAATATTCTGTGTTTACGGCGAAAAGATTAGCCAGTACCACTCCAGTAATGTTAATGTTACAATATAAGGCAAAATAAACGTGATTGTTAACTGTTAGTTACGTTTTTACGGTTAAACAGTTAAGCGAATTGGGATAAATTATGATAGACTAGTTATGAAATAAGAACTTATACCTTTTCAAATAGTGGTTATAGTTTGTATAGTTTTGTCTAGTTAGCAAAATCACAAGGAACAATACTATGCTGATATATAAAGGATATAGAGAACGATACTGAAAAGGGCAAGGGAGTTTGCTTCTTTAATCGAATCGTCTTCGTTTTTAAACTAACTACTCGTATAGCTGCTTTTGTATCAACTTTGTATTTTATGGTTTCCTCTAACCAACCTTTCCCAAAAACTAATTCTTTTATTTAAACTTTTTAAAACAAGTGATTCTACAGAAACTTGACAAGAAGATGTCAAAAATAGAAGTTTAAAGGAGAATAATCGAAGATAACTTTATCCTTTACCTATTTATTATATTTAAAATTACATTATCACTGTGGTACACGTAAAATGTATAGAACTGCATATCAACGTGGTATGCTTACCGTTTTCTTTAGCGGTGGATCCAAACCCTTAGAAATTTGGGACACTCAAACGAAAGATGGTTATATCAAAAGATTTTTGGACCAAGAAATAAAGACAATGGTGATGGAAATACGTGGAACGAATATCAGTACAACATATATAATATGCCCTAAGGGCAATCAAGTACTGGGAATACATATGCCCTTCTTGGTAATGGTAGTTAAGAATCTTAATAAGTATTTTTCTTTCGAAGTAACTGTGCTAGATGATACTGGGACTAGAAGAAGATTTCGAGTATCTAACTTTCAAAGCACTACTCAAATATTACCGCTTTGCACTGTAATGCCAATTGGTCTTTCAGATGGATGGAATCAAATTCAATTTAATTTAGCTGAATTTACTCGACGTGCTTATAAGAAAGAGTTTCAGGAAGTTCAAAAATTAAAAATAAATGCCAACATACGATTGAGACGTATATATTTTACAGAAAGACTTATGAATGAAGACGAACTTCCACCAGAATATAAATTATACTTTCCTTTACAATCAAAGAAATCCGGTAAAAAAGCTCCTGATCAACCTGCTCCAAAAACTCCAAGTAAAGCAGATATCCCGTCAAATTTACCTGCAGATAATTTAGAAGTATTAAAACCACCAGAAGAAGGTGTGCAGAAAGTACCTAGTGCAGATAAAGTCACAATTGCACAGAAAGTGCCAAGTGCGGAAAAAGTTCCTAGTGCAGAAAAAACTCCGGCTGCGGAAAAGCTGCCTAGCACAGAAAAGGTACCGGATGTTGAGGCGGCACCAGTCACAGAAGAAGCACCAGCCGCAGAAGAAGCACCAGCCACAGAAGAAGTACCCAATGCAGAAAACGCTCCTGGCGAACAAACACAACCTGCAGCTGATTCTACAGTTGGTGATACTGCACCACCTACAACAGCCGAATCAACGGTGGGAGATGCTAGTGAAAACGCAGGTGCATCATCAGTGGAGGGAGCTAATCCTGAAGAGTAAACTTTTGTTACGTTCATTTGATAGTATTATGCATAATTAGCGTGTAATTAAATACGTGAATTATCTTTAGATATTAGGTCTTTATGTATGGTTCTTCTTTAAACATAAATATGTAAATAAACATCTTCTTGAAATGTGATTTAATTTCAAAATCAACTACACCACGTTTTACTGGACCAGATCCAGGCACAAGAGAACACTAGAGTACAATAGAAATTTTGAAGTCCATGAAGCGATGGATTTGATGTTTTTTACGCTAACCTTAAATTTGAGTCAACACCTTGTCGTCATCGTCGTCGTCAGTCGTTGTTCTCTACTGTAATATTTTTCTATGTTTGTATGAAAATTGGTAAGGTCTATTATTTATTAACATTCGATAATTACAATTACTGATGACGCTGTCTTGTAATTATGTTCCCATTACTGTTTTAAGATTAAAGAAATCTGTTTTTGTCTTAAGTAGTATTTTCTATTCTGATATATATTCTATTATGGATAAGGAAATTATAATATTTATTTATAGAGTGCAATGGCGTATCTTTACAAAGACCCTATTAATCTGGAAACGAGGAGGTAAAGTCATTAATGTGGTTAGTGAAATAGTATAAACTGTACCCGTTTTCAGAGTAAATCCAACCACAAATCACTACTGCCAATAATTCAAACATTTATATCCGAGAAACACTTTTAATAATAAAAAAAACATTCCTTTGCAAACAACCATATCTTTAATTTAAATGGATGCGCACCATCTAGTGTCACAGAAAATATATATCACTAAACATTAAATCAAAGGTAAATAGATACAAATACAAATTGATACCTCGAATTAAGCGATGAGGGCCATGTAGTACCAAACAGGATGACAAAAATCTAATATCATATTTAGTTCTTAAGTTACACAAGCTGTACCACAAACACACCCAAATTCAATATTCACACGCAGGATTTGGAGAAAACTTTTTTTTATTTCACATCATCATAATCACCACATCAATGGCCTTTAACAGTCCACTACTAGACATATGTCTCTTCTTGGCTGGCCAGACGGGTAGGTTTGTGTCAAGTTTTCCTTCTTTTGCATTGCTGTTATCCTGCGTAGATTTCTCTAAATCTAATCTAAATATTAATAGGCGAACAAAGTTCTTTGTATGGATTACTAAGAATGTTCCTTAATAATCCATACAAAGAACTTTGTGATACATATTTAAAAAGTTCATGTAAATGACTTATTCGCATTATACACTGCCAGTATATGTTGATCTATTAGGGCACGTAAGCCTTGACACTGAAAGTTCAAGGTTATTTGAAAAATAAAGTTTATGAATTTAACCCTGAATACTAAGAAACATTACATAAGAATGAAACTTACATTTTTTTAAACAAGTTTCAACCATTCCATCATAATTATATGCGTAAACCGAAAGGAACATAACTTAAATTATTAAAAAAAAACAAGACCTGAACAAAGTTATAAAAGAATGTTACCAAAATTGAATTACATAAAAACTCACTATCTCGTCCTCCATGCTTGATACTTTTTTTTTGAAAAACAGTAACTGTCATTGTATAAGTCATACACAGATTTATTGTTATTCATTGCATTGTTTAAAAAATGTTTAAAAACTCATATCAAAATGGATTACTGTCTATTTTTTACAGCTGTGGATCAAATCCCCTAGCAATATGGGATATGGAAGTGCAAAATGGCCACATAAAACGGCTGACGGATAACGAAGTTAATTCTATAGTGCTAGAGATTGTGAGTACAAATGTAGCAACTACATATATAGTGTGCCCCAAGAACAATCAAGTATTAGGAATAAAGTTACCTTTCCTAGTAATGATAATCAAAAATTTGAAGCGATACTTTTCATTTGAAATAACTGTTCTAGATGATAAAAATATGAGAAGGCGTTTTAGGATCTCAAATTTCCAATCTACGACTAAAATAAAACCTTTTTGTACAACTATGCCAATAGGTTTGGCTCATGGTTGGAATCAGATACAATTCAATCTTGCCGATTTTACGAAAAGAGCATACGGAACCCAATTCATTGAAACTTTACGCGTTCAAGTCCATGCTAATGCGCGATTGAGACGAATTTACTTTAGCGAAAGACTTTATTCTGAAGATGAACTACCACAAGATTACAAACTATATTTGCCTTTGGAGCGAAAACAAAAGAAGGGTAAAGTTGAAAAGAAAGAAGAACAGGTGGCGCCAGCAATTCCAGTTCCTTTAGCAGCACCTCCTACTGAAGGAGCAGCTCCGCCTCCTGCTGGAGCAGAACCACCTCCTGAAGGAGGCGCAACCATTTCAGCAAAATCTTCTAAAAAGATAGTAGCAGCTGCCAGTAAAGCAGAGGTAGAGAAAAAATCAGAAGGCCCTGAAGAAACTGCAGAACAAAAAGAGCCTGAAGCTCCACCTTCGGAGGTTGGAACTGACGTTGGAACTGAAGGTGCAACTGAGGGAGATGCAACTCCTGTTGAAGGTGAAGCTACCCCTATAGAAGGCGAGGCACCAGCAGAAGTTACGGAAGATGCACCTGAAAATGCAGCAGAGTCTGGAAATGAAGGCGAAACACCAGCAGAAGAACCAGATACCGAAGCTGCCGCAGAAGGGGACTAAAGATAAATGATGTTTCAACATTTAGTATTTTTGATTGGTTTTAGTTTTCTTATGTTACGTATTTATGATAATCAGTAATGTTATACTTGTAATTTTGCTATATTATTAAAAAAAAGGACCAGAAAACAGGTACATAAAAATATTTAAAATATTTACTGAAGAACCATTGTTAGGGTTCTTATGTTCTTATGTTATTGCATCGATCCTCTGTAGCCTGTCAGAATTACTTCATTGCCTTTCAATAACGCGTTTAAAATATGCATTTATATTGCTGTAATAGCGTGGTTTCGCGGCAAATGTATTTTGCCTGCACGAATAATCAAATAATCGCGTCCTCAAGGTTCATTTGTATGACACTGCTCCCGCACAGGTCAGCTACAAATTGCACACTAATAGACATGGATAAGAATAGTAGATGGCCACAACAGAAATGCGGGCTATTAGCTTGAAGCAAGCTTTAAGCACGCCTTAAAGCCCTTTATTGACAAATATTCCTTCTTTTACAGTATGAAATTGGTGTCTTATACTACAAATCTTACTATGGACGACGGAGATGTCCGTGAATTTCGTGAATTCTAAAACTTAGTCTCACTAATACTAACCTGGGGTTGTATTATCTATAGGTAGACAAAGGCGTGTTGAATAATAACTACTATAGTTAAGTCCTACAATATGCCAATCCTTTTGCTACAGGCTTTTTAGGATCATTATTAGAAATTTGGACGTATGTTAAAATAGAAAGGTAGATAAGAAAGGAGGGCAACGAAAGGAAAGCGTAATTTACTTATATCTATAACTTAAATTTATAAGACAAAAACGATTTGAAATTCATGGTTCATCTGTCCTGACTGATAATCAAGGTAAATCAGACGAGGCATTTTTTGAAAAACTAGTACCATGTAAAAATTATTTAGTAGCTTTTTCTGATGTTTTTTTTTTATATTTTCACCCATTTCGCACGGCTGTCTTATCCCAAACTAGGCAGAGCCAAAATGCTGATAAACATCCTTATCTATTTCTAAATACATACACATCATAGATAAAGTACACCCAGGCATATAACAAATGACGATGACGATGCTTATCACACAATTTTTTGTCCTGTGAGAATCGAATCCACGACACTGCTCTGGAGTAGCAGTCAGGGTTATTAACTACTAGACCAACAGGCAGATTTGGATGATTAAATACACGCAATATATGAAAATAGAAAAGTATTACATATCAGTACGCCCGTGTGTCTCGTACCATACTAATTGGTCGATCTAAGCTAATTGCATCGCACCGGTGAACATATTTAGTGAATCAGTGTATCTCAAGCATCTTATATTGTGTTGTTGTTTGGCTCTTTTTCAATTATGAATTATAAATGTGGTGCCTGTGCCGAATTGTCTGTAATGATGAATTGTTCGATAAGCGTTATTTAGTGTGGAAACGCGATCGCTACTATTGTCGTACGGGTCAGAAAAGGGGGGTGAAGTGTTAATTGCAGTTCGGAAAGATCTAACCGTTACGGAAACGTGTGAGTGGCGTAGCTCCGGAAAAAATCTATGGATAACAATTGTTTTGGAAAGAACTGGACCTTCAGTGACATATAACGTACATATTTGTGCTCTTTACCTTTGTCACGAGAATTCAGGTAATTCTTATAATACTCAATTACAAAACTTTATCTCCAAACTTGACCAATGATGTCCCATTTATTAGACAAAATTATTATATTGGGTGATTTTAATTTTGGTAATTAGGTGAGCTGGAACATAGAAAACGCATGTGATAGTCTAGTGCCGGTGATTTATACTTGTCAATACATAACTGATTTTCTAGATACTGTTTATACCTGCAATCTGTCACAATATAATAATGTACGTAAAGTAAATGATAGGTTGTTGGATCTCGACTTTTCCAATAGATTACTGATAGTCGAAGAATGTGACCTTCCGCTAGCAGCTCCAATAGATTTACACCATAAACCCTTGCATATTGACGCAGATTTTGTGGAAATTCATAGCTTTGAAGAAAACATAACATCTTAATATCTGTTCCACAAGAGGGATTACGACGCTATTAAGTCTGCACTGGATGATACTGACTGACATACCCTGTTGACTTCTGGATCTCTGGAGCATTCGGTGAATATTTTTTATAGTAAATTATATGCTCTAAGAGATAAATTTATACCCATTAAATCTGTAAGACATAATTCACACCCGCGTTGGTATAATTCTGCGCTTATAAAACTCTTAAAAGAAACATCAAAGTATCACCGTAGGTTTAAATTATTTGGTAATCAAAGTGACTATTTAACGTTTTCTTTACTCCGTCGGCGAGTAATTGAGCTAGAAAAAGCTTGTTTCAATGAGTACATAAATAAAGTAGAACAATCTATTTTGAATAACCCGAGGGCCTTTTGGTCTTTTATTAAAAGCAAGAAAAGCACATCATCACTCCTGGTTCGCTATACTATACAGATGTAACTGCGAAGCTAGTGTAAAAATGAGTAACTTATTCGCTATGTATTTTAAATCGACTTTTCAAGTTCGACAAAATATAAATACGAATCGTACGCATCACCACACTGAGATACATAGTTGTACAAATTATATTAGTTCAATAAATGTTTCTGCAGATAAGGTATTAAACCTCCTGAAAAAACTAGACCTTTCCAAATCTGGTGGTCCCGATTACATTCCAACGATCTTTATAGTTAGTTTAGCGAAAAGGCTAGATATTAACTACTCTATTATTTTTAGTAGATCTTTGATATAGTTAGGGCATAGTTTCACTGATCTGGAAATCTGTCTTCATAACGCCCGTATTAAAGAAATGTGATAAATCTAACATCGAAACTAATGAGGTTTATTTGGTGATCCAGAATATGTTCAGTAGTGAACAACACGGTTTCCTTTGTAAACGTGCTACCACATCAAATCTAATATTTTCTCACGATTCTATTCAAGGGTGTGAAACAGGGGGCACAAGTAGATGTATGTCATCAACAGCTTTTAATAGTCCACTGCTGGACATAAGCCTCTCCTTAGAAAGGAGGTTTTGGCCTACTATACCACGCTGGCCAGACGGGTTGGTATAGGGTTTGTGTCAAGTTTTCCTTTTCTCTGCAGTGCTGTTGTTCTGCGTAGTTTTTTCCCTTAGTCGGCTCTTACGACACCCACGGGATGAATAGGGGTGGTGACACTCTGTATTCTTAATCCATCACCACACGGACCTATAGTAGATGTATGATGTTACATGAATTTGACCGTATTGATAGACATAGAATATTATTGCAAAAAATTCTTGCCGCTGAATACTTGGCGATTTATACTGTTGGTTTTGTTCCTATATTGACAAACGGTCTGAGGCGGCAGTGGTCCAAGGTATTACCTCTTATTGGTGTTCAATTCCATCTGGGGTGCCTCAGGGATCACTTTTGGGCTCCCTGCTATTCATAATATTTATTACAGATATTGATCACTGTTTTCAGAACTCTCAAATACTCTTATACGCTGACGATTAAAATTCTTAAAACAATTCATAATCCCTTTGATCTCGAGCAGCTACAAAGTGATTTAGACAGCTTTGTAACCTATTGCAAAATAAATAAGTTTGACTTAAACGTGGCTAAATGTTGCTATATCTCCTTTACACGCCGAAAATATACAATTGGGTATGTCAGCGGTGAACAGCGACCGGTAGATATACCTACTGAATTACCTTGTTATTTGTTTTAATTATTCATTTTTATTGTGTTGTTTACAATTTAGTTTTTAGTTTTCATTTTTTAAATTAACATTTGCTGTTCAGATCAACTGGAAATATTGTGTATAATTGTGGTTTATTATTAGAAGGTAATTTAAATGTGGAAGCTTTTTATTAGCAATTTAAGCGCCACTCAGCTGTATATGTTAATATTAGTCTGTAAGCTTTCCTAAGATAAATAAATAAAATAAATCAATCTAAAACTGTTGTTAACAGGTATACATCTGACTAAAAGTTTGCACGCTAATCTGCAAAACAAGAAAAAACTGTTATTAGCCAAACGTTAGCTTCATAGCGCTCAATATGCAAAACGGGTCATAAAATCCGTAACACAGTCGGTTGGTGGCGCCTCTTTAATAGTTTATATTCTGGTCTATGGTGCGAAATTCCGACCATTATTTAGGGATGGGCCCCGTCAAACTGCTTACATATATCCGGGGATTTATGGCTAACTGTTTATAGTATATTATTTATAACACTATTGAGTTTAACAAGCATTATTCTCGTTATAACCATGCAGAAGGTTTGAGCAAAATTATTGTGCGGGAATATTAAACATTTTTATGGATCCATTTCTCAGACATGCATTGTGAGAATTTATTTTTACTACGATTTACTTTCCGATACTGTTTCAATTTTAAATTATGTTGAGGTATAAACGATAAAGATTAGTATTCTACACCAAAAAATCACGACTTTAAATTTAGCTTTTGACTATTCTTCTAGTTATAGTCAAAAGCAGATTACGACTTACTGAAATCATCATGAAGCTAGAGAATAATCTATTAGGAAGTTAGTCTACCATAGATTCATCTTCAGGAGAGCATGTGGAACTTTTAGTATTGTGGGCCTAATATTTGGATAGTAGAAGGGTAGCTTAACATGTAGCACGGTGTAGTATTTTTAAAAGCTTTATTTGGTGAAATCTTATGCTGAATTAACCATATATCTTTACACAGAGGTTACGGCTAGTAGTTATATAAGTCTGGGTGTGACTGTATTATCCTCTACAAATGTTTAATCAAGTTTAATCAGCAGCAGACTTGTGTAAATTTTAATGAAGTAAAGTTTTTTTTTCTGGTCTAGTATGGCAATAGGCTCTTTATAAGACGAGACCAAAAATATAGCTGTCACACAGGCAATCTGGTGTGACCACGAGTCTGCAATGTAAAATGTAGATGTCTTACGTCTTTGCATACTCCTTTCGGTATAATTGTATAATGGTATAGCTAAAGAGGTAA